TAACTACCCCGATCAACTGGCCAGTGAGCACCATCAATCCACAAGAAGCCTCAGCAGCATAGGCCATCCTTGAAGTACGGTCTTGGTCCTTGATTAATCCACACATTCTAAACACGCATTAGTGATTCAAATGCTTGTAAAAGTATACCATCATCAGCCTCTTGTCCACGGCCTTGTTCCAAGTGCTACAAGGACATACTTGTAATATGAGCAATGGCAGTCGAATAAAGTGGAACTCATTTATACCTGCTTCCAACGATATCACCACGCTGTTTGCTGATCCATATGCACCACGTAAAAGGGCCTGGGGGTTTGACGGCAACGAAAAGAAGCCAAGTGAGCTCGATCAACCCAAACAGATCGATTGGAACCCCCCCACCCACCTTAGCTCAACCAGCATTAAGCCTTTGCCCAATAAAAGGTTGTCTAAATAGAACAACGTTACGTGTCAGTTTGGTCTTCTTCCTTAGCAGTGAACTGGGCTTACCTTTGTTGTACGAGAAAGACTCGAAACACGCGCCGAATGAAATGCGTTGTTGCAAGTAAAGAGTTACCATGTCTGGTAATGTGGAGTGTTGCATTAGTAGCTAGCGAACTACGAAACACTGCTGTAGAAGCGTTTAACTAGTACCTTTTGAAGGACGGCGTTCACCATTGACAGCTGCTGTGTTCGTGTGGAAGGTGCAATGTAAAGAGCACGCGTGTTGCTGGGCGACAAATGACGAGGCAACTGCTGCGGAGCGACAGTTCCCAAGTGTAAACCCCCCCCACTGCTATTACACTGAGGCCACTCAATTACTCCCCACACACCATCAACCCAAACACACATAACTCACCCATCATCATCATCATCATCACCATCACGATAAACAATGGATACACGTAAATAAAAGAAATGATCCTCACGCATAGCAAAAGGGTGTGTGTCATTTTACACTTTACATGATAATGATGATCCAACAACAGCCAATGCCTTACTACCATATCAGCTCGAGTCAAGAAAGTTCAATGACGGGAATGATGGGCTGGAGAAGGACAATCGTTCGTATGCATTGGATTGGGCAACAATGGAGAATGGGAGGATGTGGTTATTGAGTGGCACTTTTGACCTACAAGTTAAGTAGTTGGCCTGACGCTGAATTGATTGTTTTGCTGCTGCCATGGATATTGTTCGAGGCCAGCTTACAATAGACACAGTCTCTTACGGTAATTATGGATAAAGCAAAGGGTTGCAGGTTCCTGTAAAGAAAATACCACGAGACTATAATGTGTGATTGAGTAAACCTATAAGCGTCTTGCAAGAACGTTACTCCGTCGGTAGTGTTAAGCCATTCCAAAGCGAACCCTCTTGTATAAGTAAACATCTGATTCTATTTGTTTGTGACATCTTGGATATCAGCAGCCAGCCTATCCATTCATTTCATCACGTTTGAGCAATAAAGCTTTATCACATTACTAACGCATCGTATTCATCTTTCTATATCGGATCATTGTTTACGTGCTTAGATTTTGTGGAAGCAACTTATTGGACCTTGACCGGTATTATCTCTTGCATGCAACAACCAACATCACCTTATTTCTTTTATGAATTATGATGCGCCCAGCATCTTATACTATTTCGCCACATCTAGCAGCTACAATTAGTGGACCATCTATAGGACAAAACATTAGTGCCTTACATTTTTCTTTAACCATTGTCTATTTGGTTGGGTGAGTCGAAAAGGAAAACGACGACTTTATTAGACTCCTTTCTAAGCAAAGACAACACGTGACAGATCACGTGACCAAATCAAAAGAAAAAACAAAAGACCATCAACAACCTCCTTTCGAAGTCGTCAATTTCGACTGTTGGAGACACGGGGACTTGAACCCCGGGCCTTTTGCATGCAAAGCAAACGTGATACCACTACACCATATCCCCTTTTACTGACATGAGACGTCCGTGGTGGGATGGTCAACCTTCGCGTTGCCATAT